ATGATACGTGGAATGCCACGGATCGTCGTGCATTAAAAATCAGACATGATTCATTAAAAATCATAAATAATTTGGTAAATAAACATATGTATTTTTATTTCAGTGTTTACTAGAAAACTATGGAATTAATAATGTTTAGAAACAATTCTCAAAATATGGAAAAACTAGCGAGTGAATACTTTAAGGCCCTCCCTCAGAAACGATTTTCCACTTTTGACAGTCTTTTCATGCTGAAATTTTCAGGGATGACTGATCTTGGAGAGATACGCTTCTGATAAAAATTTCAGCTCGATTGGTCATACTAGACAGGATTTCCAGCTAATTCATGGGTCATTTTTGGTCTTCAGGAGAATTGGTATAATTGCGTTATAAGAAGAGGTAGAGAGCCCAGGCTGGTTTCAAACTAAAACACATGTCAGTACGCAACTTTTATCTGAACAGAATTTTGATATTTCGTCCTATTTATTTTTTATGAGCATTTTAGTGCGAGGGTCTCAAAATTAGCATAAAAAATGGTAGTCCAATGACAGTAAATTCCACTTTTCTCAGCCCAGGAACCAACTTTCAAAAGTCCGTTCGAACAAAAGTTTACTCTGTTCAAGACCTTTAAAACAAAAAAAATATTGGTAATAGCTCGAAAAATGAGGGAGGAGTTCCAATTTTTCTGATTGGAAATCATGTTCTGAGAAAAACCTTAAAGAAGTTTTAGAAGTGATTTTTTTCGGTCAAATTCAAAAAACTCATATTAAAATGGCATATTTTCAATAAATTTTCTAAAACTATTTTAAGGCCCGTAAAAGACGCAGTAAAACTAATTCCATCTGACATGCGGATTAATATCAAAATGTTCTATTCTATGATAATTGAAGTAGTAACGGAGTTTTTCCAAAACTGAAAAACTTTAAAAAACCATGAAAATTTCTCGGAAAATATGGTAGAGAAGTTAAAGTCTGATCTGACAAGTCTTTGAAAAACTCATCATTTTCCAAAAATCTATATATGTTCTGAAGGAGAAAGTTTCGCTCTATCTTCCTGTGGTACAAACTCAATTTCGATATTGTTTGAAAAAAATCGATTTTCTGAGGGGGGGGAATCCCCTTAAGTCAGTAATGAGAAGGGTGAACCCACAAAATTTCGACTTACAACTTATATGCACAATTTTTTTTTTTCGAAAATATATATGAGAATTCTACAATATAATAGAGATGAATGTAAAAATACTTTAGCTTTTCTTAAACTATGTTTAAGTGAAAAATTCGAACTCGTTGGTATTTAATGAGAAGAAAAATATGAGAATATTTCTGAATCAGTATTGTTTTATTTGAGAATTGGAAAGTAACTAATTCAGGAAAAAATTATTAGTCCATACCTTATAGATACGATCATGGTTTCATAATCGTGTTAAATAGAACTAAGTGAAATCTATCATTGGACGAAGAATTTAATATGGTATCATTGGTCAATGTTTATTATATTTTATTTTTTGTTTTTATAGAATACTCTGTTGAAACTCAGCTGTTTTTCGTTATGTGTATATTTTTCAACAGATGAATTCGAAAGTCTAGTTGTGCCTCTCCTTCGTCGAACGTCAAATTTAGAAAAGTTAACATTATCTATTCGTGTTCGTGAACGAAATTCATTCATTGATGGTACTTATCTGCATAACTATGTGCTCAGTCAAATGCCACATCTACATACATTTACCTTCGACATTGTTACAAATATTGTCAGGAATAATCAACAATTTAAACCATCGTCTGATGATATTCAACGCACGTTCATCGAAAAAGGCTATCATGTTGATTGTTACGTCGACTACGATGATTCTATCACAGATTGATGTCACGTTTATTCGCTTCCATTCAATATGAAACATATACATTATATTACGCATAGTTTTCCTGGTGGTATGTTCATGAATGTTCGCGTACTGCATATGTTCGACCATTCTCATCCTTTCGAACACGATCTTTTTGCTCGAATCTCGCGTTCATTTCCATTACTCAGTAATCTGAAAGTCACCAATCGAACACCACACAATAAGAATCGGTCACAACAGCTAGTCAAATCTGAAGAAGCATCCTCGATTATTGAATATTCTCATCTCGTCGAACTTAGCTTTAGCTGTGATGATACACATATTGACTATGTGAAAGAATTTCTTTGCAACTTGAATACACATTTACCTTGTCTTAGCAAACTTCATGTTGAATATGAACATTTAGTAACTGTTACAGAGAATTTTACAAGAAATACAACACGTATGAATTGTGCAAAATTGAAACATATTGATTTTTATCATAAACGTGGAATAGTTCGTTCAAAAAACTTTTATCTTTATTTTCCTTTGTTATATCACGATAATTGTAAACAATAGACTTGTTTCATATATATATATCAATAAAATTAAATGGAAACATCTACTTATAATAACTATTCATATGAAAAGATTGGGTTTTATATTGTCCTATTCACACTGATTGTAAGAGAAGGATTTCGGGTTTGATGTTTTTATTTTTTCATTCAGCAATGTTTTAACTATGATAACAATATATGCCAGAAATGAATTCAGTTCGTATTTTTTACGAACTGAACCAATCTCAGTGAACAAAGCTAAAAACTTACCATAATTTGTGAATGAAATTAGCTTCAAGTTGTTTCTATGAAGGAGTTTTTTCTTATAGATTAATGGCATCATCGATGAATGGAATTGAAGCGATTTTATGTACTCCACTTTTGAGGTACTCAAAAATAATTTTAAATTCTATCTTTATAGAAATCTATTGTTCTATTTTTCAAAGTAAATTGTCTTGTTTGTATAAACTTAAATGGTAAATATTTCTCATTCATGTAGCTATTATGTCGAGGTGCGGGTATGAATGCGGGAATGTGCTTTTTCTTCACTCACACCCACACCCTTTTATTAATGTGTACTCATGAACAAATAAATAAATAAATAAAAGTTAATTTCGTTTTTTTATCATTATACATAGATCATAAGTGTAAGCATTTCTTTCTTGTTTCCAACCGAAATAATAAATCAAAGATGTCCTTCTTTGTTTCTTTTCTATGTTTCTAATATACATGCTGCATGCTTTGCGATTCGTTTGTCACATTACTAAAAACTAAACACATAAACAGTGCAACATTTAGAAGGATTTTTTTTTCGATGAAATGTATAGTTGACAAGAATTTTCACTCTGTTCACATTGACTTGATCAAAATTATACATATCTTGTATCATTTGATACTTTCTTATAGTCGATCATATAGTATACTAGCAAGAACCCGTGCATACTGCACGACTGGTTTCTCCTTTAACGTATGACTTCAGACGTTTAACTTTTCATCCGATAACAGACATACAGATACGCGATATTATGTATATGGATCGAAGCCTTACGGCCTCATACTCTTATATCACATATATTTTTATAGGCCATGTAGCCTTCTGTCCTTTGTGCCTCTTGTAGCCTTACCACTTTATTGTCCTACACTCTTCAAGGCCTATGGGTACCCTATAGGACGGTCTTTGAGGATCCATGGGTGCCCTCATATAATAGCTATTGAGGACCTATGAGTACCTTTATATAATAGCCCTTGAGAACCTATGGATACCTCTATATAACAGGTCTTGAGGACCTATAGGTACCCTCATATAATAGTCGTTAGACCTCCCCTTGTAGCCTTATTTGACCTTTGACTCGGCATAGAGAAACACACAGACAGACACTGAACATTATATATATATAGATTGAAGAGTAATGTATGAATTTCCTGGTTTTTATTATTCTTTTGCTTTGTTTTATTTAATTGTTCGAAATCGAAAATCGTCTTCTTCGCAAAAGATTGGCTAAGGCCATTGAAATATTATATCCGTTTATTTTTTTAAAGTTCATTTTTACATTCATCAAAGAACATGGCTACAATTTTTTGTCGATATTATATTCTATTGTATAAAGAAAGTATAAAATGGAAGTTAGGCCTCAATACACAAAAACATATTAATGTAACATCTATATCACAGCTTCAGATGCATGAATTTATTTAATGCAAGTAGTTAGCAAAGAAAAAATTGTCTTCCAATATTTTAGATGTCATTGTATTGAATCTTATCTTACATTGCGTTTTCTCTATTATTCGTTATTCTATGTAAATAATTTTAGTTAGATGAGTTTTTATTTTTGCTTTTTGAAAACTAAAAAGAATAGTTCAATTGATGGTGACAATAAACTGTTTCAACTTATGAATTCGCATATCAATTGTAAATTACTAGTCAAATTGTTTGTTCACTCTCAACACACGATTCATACCGCAAAAAAATCTGACAAACAAGCATGTTCTCTGTCATTTTGCGTAATACTTATCTTAGACACGTGTATAAAAAGTAAAGACATCATACATTCAATTTCATATTTTTCTTCTATAAAGACTACACAATCATGTTGTATACAGTGGTTCTACTTATTTTATTGTTGAAATCACCAACTTTAATTTTATCATTACAGTGCTACGTCTGTGAGGGTGGTTTCACACTTAATTATACTGTAACAAGTGATACAGTTCCATCGTTTTCTAAATGTCAATTGATCAGTGGTGGAATATGTTGGATTACTGTTATTTGGGATCAAAATAATCATACTTCTAGTATCTTAGTAGATAGTATAAATACTATGTTTGACAACTATGCTTTGAAACATATCATTATGGCTTCAGCTGATATGACAGTTGTACATCAACATGAATT